AAAGAGAAAAGCAAAACAAAAAGGCGGGGCTTAACGATGGGAGTACCGTTTGCTGGAGGAAAAAGAATGCGGCTGCCCAGCGGGGCTGCGCACCCCGGGCCGGGCCGAGCCCCGGGCCCCACGGTGGCGGCCCCGGTTTCACGCGAGGTGTCTGCGGCTCCGTGCGTGTGACGAGCCGGGCGGTTTATCCGGAGGGGTCCCGGCTGGGGACCCGCGGGGCTGGCGCGCTGACAAGGGACATCCAACTGCGCAGTGTTCGCACACGCGGCGGTGTGTTCAGGTCCTTCTTGGCTGGCTCGGTTTCCTAAGTGCGATATCCTGCTCTTCTCCCCCCTCCCCTCCTTCACGATAGTTTCTAGGCTTATTAGATTTAATCATCTTTTCTAACTTCTAGTCAATATTACACTCATCCCGAACAGATTCAGCTAAATGATCTTATCAATAGTTTCGAAGAGAAGTGACAGAAAGAAGAAGTGTTTTGTGACCGCAGACGTGCTGACGGGTAAAATGTTGAAGCTGGGTATGGATTTAAAAGTCCTTGGTCAATAGCCCGCGGAACGGGCTGCGGAAAGCGAGCAGCCTCTGCCCTCTGCAGGACACTCGGGTGGGCGCCCAGGGAATATTTCGCCTTTGACGACAGGGCCCCGCTATCGGGGAGCGCTCTGTGTCGGGTGGACAGGAGGTGACTCGGATGGATGTGCCTCGCTCGGTGGGGCAGGCCCGGCGCCCCGGGGATGGCYGTCTCCGCCGGTGGCGGGGTGGCGCGGCCGCCGCTGTTCGGTGTCCCCGGGCCGCTCCTCCGGGGCTCTTTGCCCAGCAGGAGGCTGACCTTATGCGAGGGACTTCGCTCGTCTTTCCCAACTGGTTGTGGGGAGGCCGGCTGGTTCGGGGGGTCATTCTTTTTGTCTCCTTCGGTCTCTCTTTTAAGAGAAAGGAGCGGGGGAAATGGGGCAGCTATAGGATGCTCCTTCTGCAGGTGGATGTCAGGGTGCGCGGCAGCTTCTCGGGCTCTCTTGCTCTTATTTCCAGCAGCGACATTCTGTCGTAGGTCAGATGTCAACAACAAAAGCCCTATTTCCTCGGCTCTCTCTCTCTGGTGGAGGCCGAAACTGGAAGGCGAAAGGAGACTATGTATCCTCAAGTCTTTCAGTCCTGATTGTCACCCCCGCTGTCGCCAGCCCCGCAGGGGCGAGAGTCAGTAGTCGGTGCTGCCSGTCCTGGGGCGCTCCCGCCACCGCCCAGCTGCGCCGTCTCTCCTGAGGGTGGGCGTGGGGGGCCGGGGTTTGGAAAGAGAGAAGCGGAGGAAGGGGAAATAATCCGAAAAATCCCCCAGGTAGCGGGCCAGGCCTGGATGGTGTGTGGCCAGGTGATRCTCTCGGGCTGGGCACCTTGTGAGAGCCCCGGTTGGCCCCGGCTCCGCCCCGCCGGGTCTCTGTC